AAATTAAACCAAATACACAGGAGCCAAAATATGACTTTGATTTCATACCACCTGAATTTCAGTATCATCTCAGGAACAGGTTTGAGGCCTTGAACGCTAATGAGCGAAGACCAGATGAGTTTCCTCTCCTACTAATATATATTATCAAGCCAAGATAATTGGAACAATATCATTTTTTAAAAATCCATTCAATGGATTATGTGAATTAACTAATTATCTTGCCCTTTACTGACTTATTTTAATACTAGCATACATTAGAATGAGGATCATAACATAGAAAACAATGTAATTGACAGCAGATGCCCATAAAACTGAGCATGACTACAAAATTCCTGGAGCTATTTTCACAAAATACCCCAGAGATGTCATTGGCGATATTCCTGGCAACTTTGTCAATAAAATTCCCAGTTGACTAACAATCGCAATTAACCATGTACTGCTGCAGTTGTAGCTAATTTATAGGAAGGCAGCTTCATGAGAAAGAATACAAGGAAACTATTGTAACTGTATTTCTCTAGAGAGGGACTAACCTGAGGAAACTATACTAAGAAGAAAATTGATGTCAACCCAACAACATCTGACTTCAAGAAACAAACAATAAAAGAACTAACTAAGGCCTTTCTAACTCAGCTTTTTAGTTTTAAGGGGAAAGAATATCAAAGGAGAAAAAGGAAAGCTATTGTAAATATTCTTAAATATGGATTGTGAATTGTTTAAATAGAACTTTAACCAAAGATATTCAACACAAACATGTGTCTAAAGCATGCATTTCTCTTGCGGAGTGAATTTTGATTCCCAAGGGGCAAAAATGTATTCTTTGTATATATAAAACATAGTTATTCATAATGATATCTTTACAGATAAAGTAGCCCCATAGGGACATAGTAATGAACAAATAGGTTGAAGACCACTGGTCTGAAGTGAAGTAATTTTTTTAAATATACAATATGTAAGAGTATGAAAACATTTCTAATATGTTGTTGTTGTTGTTATGTGCCGTCGAGTCGCCTGCGACTCATA